TGGTACTTCTGGAGCTTGAACCCAGGACTTTCTCACTTAGCTATTTTCCAAGCCCATTCTAATTTTTGTTTGTGTTTGAGGCAGGTTTTGATTCTCTTGCCTCAGCCTTGCTGCGATTACAGGCAGTTTACCACCAAGTCCAATTTTCCCTGAGTCATTTTTGAAGGACTCTGGACTCTAGGATAAATAATCAACATCAGTATTAAAATATTTCTAACCTTAAAAAATTCACATCAGAACACATGGGTTTTGCAGTTTAACTTTTAACTTCATTTTTAAAATGCTCACTCATTTAAATCATTTGATCTTACGCTCTCCTTGGCTTGACTTGGTAGAATAAGACGTTCTTGTGCAAAAATAAAACAATAGCTTTGTTTCATCTCTGATTAGTTTTCAAACACTTAAATATACACTGAATGATTTTCTTAACATAGATTGTAATTCTCACCTTAAAAATAATCCTGTTTTCCTTTTGAAAGACTTTGATCTTTAAATTGCTGTGCATTGCTATCTTTAAATTGCTATGTTTTGATACAAAAATCTTTGGAGAGGTTGAAGTACACATTTCTCCCTTTAATGGCAACCTAAGAATGGTTTCCATAAAATTGTGAACAACTGTTGTTATTAATTAACTCAGAAGGAGGGGGGCTCAGATTCTGGGTAACATTTCAGTGGACTCTGGTGCACAGCCCTGCTGTGGTCATAAGAGCCTGTGCTCTCGAGTCTAGAAGGCCAGGATAGGTGTTGGTAGAGTAAGTATATTCATGTGCACACTCTACTCCAACTTGCATTGTCTGGAGGGGATTCAGGGGATTCAGGGGCTGCTGTCCAGCAATTGCACTAAGTCTAAAATCTGAGACAGAAGACTTGACTGGAAGGCAGTGGTTATTCCTGAGAGCTTGGCTGGTTTTTCACATCCATTCTAAACCATGAACTTATACACTATGTTATATCTGCTCTGAACCTTAGGTCCTCACTGTGGTTCTGGCAAATCCTTTATCTTCTAAATTCAAGTCAAACTCCTTTTGCCTCACCATATCTATGACAAATAGGGCTAACTGGGTCATTGATCTGACACTATCTGGTCACATGCTGGGTACTGCTTACAGGAGAACACCATCTCTATAATTTAGCCTTCTATCAGCAAAATGGTGTGGTTTTGTGTTATACACAACACAGTCAGTCACATGTTGCACTGCTGTTCTGAAAACCCTCCTTACTTTTTCTTTAAACATGTCTGTCTTTCAGTCTACTTTCCAGGTCAGTGTTATACATTTCAGGAACTATATCGTTCCTGGAATGTCCAGCTAGCACTGTAAAATAATGTGCTACTGAGGAGAATGGCAAGGGAAAAGAAAAAAAGGAACAGCTGTGACAAATATAATCTTTAGGAGAAGACACAGACATGAACTGGGAGTTCAGCTTATGAGCTCAGTTGCTAAGTACTTCCAGATAGGATAGTAGACAAAATTAAGTTGATATTTACTATGCAGAAAAGAACTAGGCATGGTGGCAGGTGCCCGTAATCCCAGAACTAGGGAGACTGAGGCAAAAGGATCCTTGCAAGTTCAAAGCCAGCCTGGGTTATAAAGTGAGCTGGAGGCCAGCCTGAACTACATAGCAAAATTCTGCCTCAAAAAACAAATTATATATATAATTTTCTGATATATATCTGACATGTATATGTCAGAAAGGGTCTCATAACTACCAAGGATGACAGCACAAGTTATATAATTATATCATTCTAGGTTTATATCCAGGTGTTTTCATTTGCTACTTGGGACTTGAAACAAACTGCTCTTGACTATGTCAAGTCTCACCTACTTGGATACTATTGAAAGGATCACAGGCACATCAAGGAACAAAACAAAGTCGTTCTTGATACTATGCATTAAAGAGAAAATCATCTGGTGCAAGTTATTTTTATCATTATCATTGCTTTTACTTTATTGTTACAACCTCTGAAATGCTGGAGATAGTATTCATGATAGAAATGAAGCAACTAAAAATCAAATTTATTCCAAAGAATCAAATATAACTAAATAAAAACATTTCAGGGAGAAATATCTCTCCAGAAAATATGGAAAATAGATGGTGCATTTCAACAAAATGCAAAGGGACATCCCCTGTAAATTGGGAACAGAAAAAAACTTCCCTTTATTTTATAAAGACCATCTATAATATGTAGCATAAACGTTCCACTCCAAGGTAAACTTTCCTGTTTTCCTCAAATCAGTTACACACGGGAGGTGCTGGCTACAGCCCTTCACTGTTATGCTGGAAGGTTTAACTGGCACAATCATATAAGATATATGTATGAAACAAGTGAAAAAGAAAACGCAGAACTGTGATATCACTAGATGATATGATTGCTTATATAGAAAAGTAAGACAATCTTTACATAATTATAATTAGTAAGTGAACTTAGCAAGTTTCACAGATCCAAAAGTGCAATTCATAGGCCAACTGCATTTTTAATTACCAGCCCCAAGCAAAAAAGGATATATAAAAATAGATACACATAACAATAGCAATACAAGAATATAATAGCAAGATCTAGGAATAAATCTAAGAAAAATATGGGAGATTGTTATGTAGAAAATTGTAAAACTTTTTTGAAGGACATTAAAGTAGGACTAAATAGAGAGATATAACATTTTCATGAACAGGAACATTAAAAACTGTAAAACTTATGTTTTGCCAGGCTAATCCATAAATCTAGAGTAAATCCTACATGGTTTTCTGTAGAAGCTTACCAGCCAGCTAAATATATCTTTAAATGAATACTGTGTCTCTCTCCTCCTTTCTAATTATTCTTCTATATTGCCCCAAACTCCCTTTACAAGAATGTCTTTGATGGGGTTTATTTAACAGTAAACACACGCTAGGCACTCACTCACGGGAGCACTTTCCATGTAACATTTCTCCTTGCTGCAAACACCAATAGTAGGTATTATTATTATTATTATTATTATTATACCCATTTTACATAGCAGTAAGTAAAATGGTAGTAAGCTATAGGAATGAGAATTCAACTACCCAGGAAGTCTGGCTGCTGTGCCCATTCCCCTACCCCTAGACTATGATATCTATTAGTCAAGCATTGACACCAACTTCCAACTACAATTTTTCTTCTCTTTGCATTCTTGCACTACCTTAAGTTTGACCTGTGTCAATTTTCTTTCATTCTCTTTAGATAGCCAGCCTTCTTTCCTTCCTTTCTGCTTTCCTAATACTGTAATATTTGTCATTTCTAGGAAAACTTTATTTTTCACATCTGATTTTGTTATGTACATCAGCAAGTATTTAGATGTTATTCATTTATTGAAGAAGTATCTGTGCTAATATTTGTATTTCTAGGAGAAATTTTCCTTTTAACTTTGGTGCCCTTTCCTTGAGGCTGTTGTTGATGGGGGCAAATTGTCAAGTAGAAGTGCGTGTTTCCATAGCTTAAAGGTGATTTCCTATTTAAGTGTGGGTTAAGGAGTTTGCTGATTCCCAAGGCCTATCTTGGAGAGAAGGATGGAGTCTGAATGTACTGCTGGCCTGGATGTGTGAGATGTGAGTATTTTTAATCTGGAGGATCATTGTTCCTATTTGGAACATTTTTATTACTTTCCAGTGATGATGTGAAACAAAGTGTAGCTACTGTATGTTTTAAATCTTAACTCAGAAAAATT